TCAACACAGGTTAGATTTTTTAAAGCCTGAAAATGGAGCCAAGAGGAGGTGTAGAAGTCTAGTTTCCTCTCAGACCGCTTGAATATGCCAAAAGGTTATTATAGAATTTCTTTCCCAGTGATGGCAAAAAAAAAAAAAGAAGAAAAAGAATCCTGCCTAGTCTGTGGCAAAGTCACAGGCAGTTTTGGCCCAATCTGGCATCTTCAATCAAACTTTTGTAATCAAAACCCTAATTATGCACACCTGCACCTACCAGTTGGCTCCACCAGGGAACGACTGCAACGATGAAAGCCAGATCTGAGGCTGAACACAAGGAGAGCAAGTACACTGAGCGCAGTTAGTCTGAAAAAAAAAAACAAAAAAAAACTCTTGACTGGGAGCATCTGTAACACTGCCATGCTACATTCATGAGCTCAGGATTGCTGAAGGTCACTGCTGACAGCGTCGGTGCCAACAAAACGCAATAAGTTTAGAGGTGTGAGACAGGTGGCTGTGTAATAAAACTGGGATTTGGAAATTGCTTCCTCCTTTATACTGTTTGGCTCTGAGCTTACCATTCGTTTTAATAGCGCGACTGTTTGACTGCTGGCAATGAGAACATAATGTTTGTGACTCCTGGATATTTTATGGAGTGTGCAACTTTCTCGGTGATTTATAAACCACTGTGAGACAAGATTTGCTAAATTAAATAAGTTCTGAACATACAGGCATTATTACAATCACAAGTGAACATTTTTCTTTTCTTGTCATTTCATTTATCAAGTTCATGAACTATTCATCACTTTGAGCATAACAGCTTGTTTTAAACCCAGTAAATTAAGATATAGCGGTGAATTAATCATTGCTTATTAAAGGCTGAATAGCAGCCAGTTCTTGGCTTAACTCTAATGCTAACGTACTTAACATTGCTTTATCGTCTTTATATGGAATGACTTTTACTTACTTTATGAGAATTAGATGATTTTAAACTGATTACGTGCTCTAGAAGTACACTTAGGGAAGCAGTGTTTATGGTTGGGCTCCCACAAACTTAGAGGCAGCTAAAACTCCACACAAACTAATTCAATGTATGAGATAACATACTTAGCATTTCAGACAAGCAAAAGTATATTTTATGCATAACTCATATAACATATGAAACATGACATATTTCCTTATCTTACATTAACTCTGTCTTTTCCACTTTTGTCGACTATGAACATTCAGATTGTGCAATATTAAAGGCTTACTACCTAAAATGTTTTCTACATAATGGGTTTTAATCAGACCAGAAGAAGAGATTTTGGGAGAAATTGTAGTGTTTTGCAGTTCCTGTAATTTTCCCAGCAGAGTGGTCTGTGAATGTCCAAAGAATGAAGCCAAATTACTTTGCTGCATCTTGTAGCATTTCACGACTCCAGTTATCTCCGTAACCTTCCGCCTTTGCTCAAACAGTGTATTTAAGTGTCACTGGATAATTATTTAATGGCCAACATTTAAAACATTTAAAAATAGAAAATGTCAAGCCATGGATTTCCATTTAAGTGGTAATCTATATTCAAAAGCACTCAGTGTTGGAAGTTTTAAAAGCTCAACCCTGTAGCCTTCCAGCCTCCGGTCTACCTTCCAGGATCAGTGACATCACTGTGCCTCATGTTACTAAAAATAAAACCCTATCCCCAAGTTTACAGGGTCAGTGATGACTAAGCTTTACAAACCCCTGTAGCATAACAATTTATCACTGTTTGAGCAACATGGAATCTCAGTGAGAGGAAATGGCAGAGGTATTATGTTGACTCATTGCCTGCACATGTGGTTTTCACAGCTTCGGCCGTGATCGCCTGCTGATTGCTTTGCATTTTTGACTGACGAGGTTTTATCACTGTCCATCACCTACAAGGTTACTAATGAGCATGCTCCATGTTTTCTATTACTCTTAGCAAGTGTTACCTCTGCAAACGGTGACTCCCCCAGAGTCCAAGGAAGCAGATATTGCTCCTTTCTGACCGCCTAATGGGAGTGTAATGTGCTGTGACACTGCAGGCAGTGGCTGTCAAAACAGTGGGCCCTGTTCCACGCCTGGCCAATTGTTCTGAAGGGTGCTGGACTGGATCAGCGCATCACAGCAGCCAGCACCGAGGCTCACACGAAACACGCTGTCCAGAACACACTCAGCACACCGTGTGCTGCCCAGACCAGCTTACAGACTCCAGATGAGGAGCAACCTGCTATAGATTACACTACTGTTGCACAATCTTTCAGTCAGGTTATTGTATTGCATAAATCAAAACAACATCAAATTATTGCATGATAAAAAGCATTCTGAAGGGGCCGGAGTTAGCGAGAACTAAAAATGCAGCAATAAATACGCTGTGATGTCTCCACTGGAAAACAAACAACTGATTATATTTACTTGCTAAGTCTAACCTGAGAGATGTTTAAAAGGTGGATTCTCATTTATATAATAAAAACTAAGCCTCTGGAGTGAGGAAAAACATATTTAGTAGCTGACAGGATTATACTTCACAGGGCTTTAAGAATGTAAAACACAGACAGACAGGCAGGCAGGTACAGTAGAGCATATACTAAGACAGAGCAGACGTCTGTGTGAGTAGCTCTTAATGGCTGACAGTTTTCCCGTTGCTGCTTTATGACTGTTTTATTTACGTTACTGAAATATCGAGCTGAGCTGAATACGCCTGACAAGCAGGGCAGCTACCAGTACACTCTGTGGTGCTCTCAAGCACTCAGCAAAGAGATAATGTCTAATCTGCTTCTACAGTATCTCACAGTGGCAGATCAGGCCATCATCTAATATCACACCCATTGTCTGTGATACACAGTCGTTCATAGTTCCTGTGAACTGCAACAAAAACTCAGAGAACAGTTTCGTTATCTCTCTCTTTTCTCTCGCCGCCGAAGCCAAAATGCACATCAGTCTCCCTGTTTCCAGATCTGCAGCTATTGTTCGACACCACGGACTCTGTGCAGGAGCGTACAGTACTAGTACAGACTGGTTGGTTAGAGCGCAGAATAGACTTGTTGTTGATCGACACATTGTGTAATAGCACTGTTGTGCTGGCCGGCCTCCATGTGACAAGAAGACGAGCCTGATATCTCCATCTTGGTCTGACATTTCAGACAGCAGCAGTCTGCCACCAGGAGTCTGGCAGCTGACAACCGCACACACACACACACCCGCACACACACACACACATACAGGTATACTGAGGAGAAAAAAAAACACAAGAGGAGGATGAGAGCCCTACATCCTCTGTGTCCTCCACTTCATCTCCAAACCCTGAAATCACAGAGCAGACGTCACCTCTCCCCAACTGCTGCTCACCCCTTCAGATACTCCTCCCTTGATTTTCACCAGTACTGTAATCATCATCAAAAGTATCATCATCATTATTATTGTTATTACATTTTCAAAAAGTGCAGAGAGAACTTCCCCCGTGCCCTCGTTCAGAAGGCAGGGCAGTAGAGGATGGGGAAACAATGGCAGTAAGAAGAGCAAGAAGAGCGCGAGAGGAGAAAGAGAAAAGAGAAGAAGATTTTCTGCCGGGTTTGAGTTGTGTTGCTCCTTTTGAACACAAACACACGCAGACATGCAGGCGCGCACACACACACACACACACACACATATACATCAACAGGCACACATTGCAGTCAAGCTGGTCGAGACTGACCCCCATCAGCACAAAACAAGAGCGCAGGGCAGCACAAGGAATTCATAGCATCAATAAACAGAGGGCAGTGCGCGCGCACAATCAAATGCATGTGCGAATACAGCACAAAATGAGCTTTTTGCTTCTGTTTTTCATCTTAACGTCGAAAGAACATTTCAAATTGGTTTCCTCAGTTGGTGATGCTGTGAAAAATGACATCATAGTATCTTGGGGGTGAGGGGGATTTGTTTTGCGTGTTGTTTTTTTTTTCTTTTTTTTTTCTTTTTTTCATCTTCTTTTTTCTCTCTCCGTGTCAGGGCGGTTTTGTCTGGAAAAATCAAGAGCAATCCATTTCATAAGTTTATCGTGTCCCTGCTTTCCCAGCGTCGGAAAGTTCAGTTAATTTTTTTTTTTTTTTTTTTAAATCTCTATTTTTGTTGGAGCTACAGCACAGCACCCACAGCACACAGACGACAAGGAGGGGGTCCAGAAAGGGGGGAGTAATCCACTAATATTGTGCCAGAGGAAGAGAAAGAGGGAACTATAACGAAAAAAAGAAAGAGAAGAGCATAGAGAAGAAAAAAGAGGGAGAGAAGAGACAGCAGTATCAACAATCCCATCTTGAGTTCAGCTGGTTTCATCACAAACCGAGTATTGATTGCTTTCGACAACTTCAGCTGAACCTTAAACCACTTTCGAGAAGAAAGGACGAGGGACTGAAATGGGGGAGAGAATATAGTACACTTGAGACAGATGACAAGGACGAGGCAACAAATGAAGAGACGGAAGAGATGGGAAACGGCAGACAGGTTATGTATAACATACTGTATACTAGTCATGTGTATAAGGGGAGTTCTGCCAATCTATACGCCTAATATATTAATATGTATATGTACATATAGTACATACTGTATAGTATCGTGTACCTGGAATATTCATACAATAGGATTATACGAGATTAGATCATTACTGAAGATTCTCTGTGATCCCACGGGACTGGCACCTTGAATGGGTCACGGGCTGCAGTGCAGTTCAAAACTAAGGGATCGACAAAGAAACTGATTATCAGACCTCCACAGGCAAAGTGCATAAGGACAGACAGACATACAGACAGTCAGAAACAGGGGAACCATTGGCGAAGTGGTGAGACAAAAAATTAAGACACGCTGCATGAGAGGAGGGAACAGAAGAGAAGAGTCGGAGAGAAACTGAGATTTTTTGAAAGAAAACAGAAAAGAGTTTAAAGGTTTAAGAGAGCAGATGGCTAATTGTACCCGTGTTTCGCAGCCTGGCAGCAAGTCAGTCTTGTGCATAAGGATGGGAGTGGGAGGAGGGGAGGGAGGAGAGGGGGAGAACGGGAGACGGGAAGGGGCCACGGAGGAAGCTGGGCGGTGCGATCAGGCCTTGAGAGCGTGCCACTGGGCAACGTTAGTACGCGGCCGGGCGAGCATGTCTTTCCAGTGCTTCACTTCCGCTGGTCCACTCTTCCACGATAGGTAGATCTGAGAGAGGGGAAGAAGAAACAAGATAATCATGTTTGGCTTTATAACATAATCTGCAAACCATCACAGATGTGAAAAATGTATCACTGCTGGCTCCGTCTCACTGTTAATGTAATGTCTGGCTCTCGTTCACACGTGTCATTTTGGGAAATGCTGCTTAACTGTCTCATTCAGACATGGTGGCGTTTCTACATAAAGAGCCACAGTGTTCATACGATGTTTGGCATCTGGTGCAGGAGAAGGAGCGGCGCCGCTGCTGGAGGGCAGCAATGAGTTGGAAAAATAGGAATTTCAGCAAGAATAGTGATTTCAGTTTTCTCACAGGCTGCATTACTGATGGGGTTTAAATGTTTTTTGCAGTTGCCTAAATTAATGAAGCTTGTTACTTGGCTGGGATCAGTAACTTTCAGGAGTGTCTACAGTGGCCAAGAAATAGTCTGGCACATAAACCCCCCCAAAAAGCGTCACTTTAGTTTTTGTACGGTTAAACAAACTTGATATATTGGGTAAGTTAGTGAACTTTAAAGGTGCTACTCGGCAGATTGTGTTACCTTTGGACAGAGCAGGCTGTTTGCACACCTTTCAGTCTTTTGCTAAGCTAAGTTAACCCTCTGCTGGCTTTATATTCAATGGTTAGACATGAGAACAGCACTGTTACATTATCAAATATTCATTACATGGTTATTATGGCCAAAAGAATTCACAATAACAATATTCTAACAATATCCACAAAGCGCATTTAGTCACTTTCACCTTTAACTTTATTTGGAGCGTTTTTGTTCTCTTTTGCCAAATGAATTACACTCAAAATACACGTGTAGGAAGGTGGAGGGAGAGTCCATCATCGCCACGTAATCAAACTGTGAGGTTTATTTTGCTCCAAGATCATTTCTTTCCATCGATTTGTTTGTTCACTGCTGGTGAATAATGCATGTGTGTAAATTCATTAAATACTAACGTCTCTCTCAGTGTGGTCACAGGGTGAATCACAACAGACAGTACTTTTTAGTCAGTTCTATTTCCAGAAAACATGTGAAATGCCTTCACGTGTACATAACAAGAAGCTGAAGAGGCTTGTAAAGTGTGAAGAGCTCCAACACAGAAACACAGGAAACGTTACCTTGCCGATAACGTCGTTGCGGCTGAGCCTGTCCTTGTCCATGACGGTGATGATGATGGTGGTCTCCCTCAGAACATGGGCGGGCACGTCGAAGGGGAAGGACTCGTTGAAGACGGGGTTCAGACAGCGCTTCATCGTCACCGTCTTCTTCTTCTCCACGCGCTTGTCCTTGTGCATCAGCCACACCTTCACATATGGATCTGCAACGTGGATGCAGAGCGCAGCAGTTTACATGAGAGAGACGATGAAGATGCACATGGATGGTGATTTTTAGGGTCAGGTTGGCAATTACCCTTTTAATTGTTAAAGTCAGGGAAGGCAGCAGGGAAGCAGATACCTCGTTTGAGCTCAAGGTCAACCTATCCCCTGAGCTAGGAAACATACAAATGAGGAAGTATTTATGGAAATAGGGCCTGGGATTTGTACTACCAATTCTGGAGCATTATCATATTCTGTAATACTAACAGACACACCACTCCTGCCACTGCAGGAAGCTGTAATTTTACAAAAATATGCCACGGAAAGCAGCGGGACTTTAAAAACTAGCAGCAACCAGACTGAGCTGACACAGATTTGGCTGGGAGGCTGAAGATCCTCATAGATATACAGAAAGAGAGAGGCCAAGGCAGAGATGCTTGATGTAGTGTCACCTTGCTACTGCAGACATCTACAGTGGACAGTGACCATCCTCTGCACAGACTAGTCGGTAAATGTTTGAACAGAGCAACGTGTGAAGCCACTGAGCTTCCAAAGTCATGAGGGCTTTCTACTGGTGAACAAAGGTTAGAAAAAGAAAAGACTAAACAAACAAAGAGGGATCTCTACCTGAGGTGCCCCCGATATCCATGGCTTTGAGATTGCGCGCTTTGATGATGTTCACAGTGATGGTGTTGGCAGTGGGATTATAGCAGAGAGACACCAGCAGGTCTCCTCGTCTCCCCTGAGGAACGCACACATGCACACAAACACAATGGAGTATGAATCACTTGGGCTAATATCAGATTTCATCAGGGAATATCAAACTCCTGATTACTCACTAGCTCGTTGTGTAATCTTACATCACTGCCCTTTCTGCTCTAACCCCTTAGTGCCAAACACAGATGGTCCAGTGACCAGGCTGGCATAGCCGAGCACGTTGCTCACCCGAAAATTACGTCAATCAAGCTCACATGCTGAAAGTAGTCAACAAATGTGTCACACTTGTTTTAATAACACTATAATAACAACACTGTAATGAAAAGAGTACGTTTGTCATGGCCACCCCTTGCTCTCTTACACTGCCATCACTGCAGGGCTTCAGCTCCTTCCAGAAGGTCTTTATCTGGCCCAGTTCCACCTTATTAAGGGGGATCGACACCTCTCCAATGGGGTCGTTCCTGCTGAAGCGGTCGTAGTCCAACACCTGAAGGTAGAGAGTGCGCTCTCTCACCTTTTCATAAGGGAAGCCTAAACAGACAGAGAAACGGATAACACTGCGAGGTGAACTGGGGATAGCAAAGTCACGGAGAGTGAAAACCGTACTCCTGACAGCGCAGAGTGGGCCGTGTAATCTGCACCGTGCTAACAGGGTTGAATTTGGTAAAGGCCAAAGTGCGTTTCTGAAACTGCTGGACCAGAAGGCGTCTCTCAAATGACTGAGAGGGAACATTAAACTCCAGCCACAAAGAACTATCTCATTAATTTTTCTACAACACTGGCTATTGTTCAGATTTTCATTTGAGTCTTTTGAACATTACTTTGGCTACGTTACCATTGTGCTGCCATCCAAACACAATGATTATAATGAAACAAATTCCGATCATACAGAGATGTGACACTTCAGTGTCATCTGAGCGGCTGCTGCAAAACATCCGCAGTTTGTAGCAAGATTATTATTTTTATTTGAAACAAAAAAAAAACTGACTGTAACTTCTTGAGGTGGAGGTTTCCCAAGTGCGAACAGAAAATAATAATAAATCTTCACACCTTCTTTGTGATTTTCACACAACTCCCACAATGCTCTTTTTTGTGTTGAGAAACAGCTCTTGGCCATTGCTATGAAGGCTAAATTCAAGCATAAAACTTTTGAGTGACTCTTCAGTGTGTATTTCTGCAACATTTAAACGATGAAATAACAACACGTATTGGCAACGGAATAGCCGTTCATTTTGAGAAGTGAATTTATTCATTTTCAGGCAGAGAGTCACATTAGAAGGTCAATATTATGTCTTTTTCTCTCTGTTTCCATTCTCTTGGTGAGCGAAGCAGCTTCTGGCTGCAGCTTTATACCGTGCTCAGTGTCGTTCTAGAGTGGTAGCAATCTTCTTATTTAATGTTTAGCACGACAGCAAACAAGCAAATTGTCCAATTATTGCTCTAAATAGAGTTTACAGCTATTGTGAGCATTAATAATAGAATTCATCCGCATCAGCTGGGAAAAAAAACATTTTATAAAAATTGTTCAAAGGCCCTGAAAGCCTACATTCTGAATCAGCTTCTTACTAAAGAGCAGCTGGATCTTAAATGAACACATAATGTAATGTTTTTACAGTTCTGCTCTTTCTATGTTTTCAGGCTTTTTGCCAGACTGTCCCTGATTAGAAGTGGCATATTGATTCATGTATTAATAGGAATAGGATATTTCTGGGCAGCATGAGCAAATTTAACGCAATAACATGTAGCAGTTCTTTGATGAGTGTGATAATACAGACCCTCAAACAGGAAGGTTTCATTCCAGTGGGGGTTGAGGTTCTTCCTCTTGACCTTGGTTTCCAGCTTGTGCTTCTTGTCAGGCAGCAGGTAGATTTTGACAAAGGGGTCGGAGGTGCCAGAGAAGTCCTTGGCGGGGAGCTCCTGGCCCCTGAGAACTTTGACGGTAAGAGTGGTGTTCTGGAAGCTGTAGCCTATGCTGAACTGGATCCGGCCCAGCTTTTCACTGATAGGCCCCTCACCGTCATCATCCTCCGACCCTGGAGACAGCTGCAGGGCCACAAACGCAGGCAAATAAATACAAACACTCACACATCCAGCAGCAGCCACTCATATAAAAAAAAAAAGTTCAGTCCAAGGGCACACACTTTCTGTGTCACAAGCACATGCACACAGGCCTTGACAGAGAGAAGCTGTGAGGGGAGGAGATTTTAGAGCTGCATTTCTATCACGCCGTACTCAAGCAGCTGCTCACAGGCAGACGTTGGTCTGACATTAAGAAGACTGAGAGAGTTTAATTTCCTTACTAATGTTCTTAAGAGGCAGGAGGTGCTCAGATTGAAGATAGGAGAGCTTTAGACCACCCATTCTCTCTCACAGCCACTCTGACTGCTTTATCATTGCTGTGCACTAAAAGGCCACTATCTGATAGAAGCAGCGGACAGAGAGACGGAAAGAAAGAGTGAGAGACAAACAGAAAAGAGTAGCAGAGAGAGAGAGAGAGAGAGCATTGCGTGAGAGGCATTGAGAGAACAGCCAGGGAAGCACAGCTCAAGGTTGGCATTCTGCACTTGCAGCTGTCTTTACTGTCGCTTCTTTTCTCCCTGTGGCTCCACCTTCTGTCTCTGTCCTTTATTTTCTTCGCTCTCTCTAACAATAGCATAAATTGGAACAAAGAGTTTGAGGACTTGGTGTGGAGATAAGCAACCAGCAGTTCATAAAACCACTTTGTGCAAGAGCCACAACTGACACTTTGAAAAAGACTAGCCCGAGGTGTGTTTTGCATGCAAAACGCTCTCTCCAAGCATTACCTGAAATTGTTGATTTTGGTGCTTTAGGCCAGAGCTACAATTTCAAAGTGACAAAGACTCACTCAGCATTTGTCAATATGGGTTTTTAGAACCATCAGGCAGAGCAAGTGTGAAATATTCCAAGTATAATTTATCAAACAGTGTGAGTCACCTTGGATGGCTTGTCTCATTTGATTGCTCCTGCAGGAAAGGCCTGTGTGTTATTTTTTGCTATTATGGCTCCCTTACTACCACGTCCATTTTTAGATCTACCGGCCCTACATGTTGCATCAAGCATGACTCTGCAACAAGTCCTACCAGGTAGTAGAAATGACAACTGCACAGGCAAAAGTATGTGGACACCTGAACATTACAGACATGTGATCACTGAACATTTCAATAAGATTCCTCCTCTCTTCAGGCTCGTCTTTATTAATGATAATGAATTTGACTGATAAGGTTTTGCTCACAGTCGGTGTTTTTGATCCATCGCAAGTGCTGGATAGATATGAGGATGGGTTCTTCCACACCAAACCAGAATTGTTATGCCAAGAGCCGTTTTCTCATCACGGGGAATGCAACTTAGTCTTTGTGCTTTCTAAAGTCAAATAAAATTACCCTGAAGATGTTATCAGGATTATCTAGGCTTGGGCTTGCAGATTACAACTTTAAACACACATGAATCAGACATGTTGTTGCTCTCGGCGACCCATTCTGCAAAAAGGATCAGTTTGGGCACTGTGGTTTATTTTATTTCATTTTACTTACACTGTGCTGGTGCCATAATTACTATTAATACTAATTTTGCATGTTTGCTGGCAGCCAAAAATGTTAAAAACACTGCTGTTTAAGGAACAGAGTTGGATGTTGGTGCCAGAGAAAAGGAAGTATTTAGAGAGAGGCTGCAATCATAATGTTGAAAAACCTGTCCTAATTTTTTTACTGGAACTAAGAGGCCTTAACAGTAAAAATCCGATCTAGATCAGCACACAAACATATGCGGACAGAGGTGTCACATACATGTATTATATGGAATGTGAGTCATTAGCCTGCATGAGAATGAGATGGATGTGAGTTGGGACAAAGGCTCTTACCATCACCATGTCTCCAGTGAGAGAGTTGGCCAGGTCAGTGACGGAGGAGTGGCCGTCAGCATCAGGGGGTTGGCCCTTAGGGCTGTTAGCTGGCTTGTTGCCCCTGTAAGCAAAAGAACAGGTTGACAGAGGGAAAGCAGCGAGGATGTGTGCTGAGAAGCTAACTCGTCTACAGAAAAAACAAAAGAGATTGTCTGAGCACACAGGGAGTCCAACCTCCACCTGCTTAACGCTTGAAAACTGCCTGTCTGAAACAACCAATTCGGTCCAAGTTTACTTTGGATAGATGCCACTTCAAAGTAGATTGAGCTTTCTGTAGCTATCATGAGCGAAGCCAAATAAAACCTGCCAAAGATTCCGCAGATTAATGGCGGGCACTAGAACTGAAGACAGTTGATGCAGCGAGTTGTGTTTGATGAAAACTGGAGCCTGAGATGACTATATATATATAAATATATATATGTCCAGTGTGGCACGCATCCACATCTCTAACAAGAAAGTTACCTCCACCAGAGAAACAAACACATTTTCAGACAGAACACAAAACATAGCCACTGAACTGAAATGGATAGAAACCAATTCATTATCTCCAATCCCCATAGAGTTTATGTTCAACCTTTATTCCCTCTGAAGACGTCGACGAGACACACATGTATAATGACATGTATAGCAACATGACGTTACTGTTCAAACAGTAGACAGACATATACAGCGACATGTAGAGGACCAGATGTTTAACAGGACACACACTGAACAGTATTTGTGCGTTTAAATTTCTCTCAGTTGCACCAACAACACAAATGATTTTTAAAGAAAAAAAACATAAAGGAGAAAGCAGAGATCTCCCATGGCACAGCTGGTACTTCGGTATAAATGTTAATGAATGTTAAGTTTAGTTCCTTCACATGAGGATTGTTGAAAACATGTGGGATAAACATTCTGGGAGGAAAAACCTCTATGTTCATACATCATGAAAACAAGAATCACAAAGTCTAAAGAAAAGGAAATCAGCCAAAGAAGACAAGAAATTAAAAGAGATTATGAGATTAAGGAAAGCATGAAAAAAAGATAGAACAAGAAAGAGTCAAATGCCAAAGTCCTGGCCAATGTAACGTGACACATTGGACACACAGCACTCCATAGATGACTGGTTAAGGCACATGGAGAGGCTGAACACTGAAACACCGTTAGGCAATAAACAAGGAGTAAATAGAGAAGAAAAACAAGAACAGAAACACAGAGAAAGAGACGAGACATTAGCAGACGCGGACAGGATGCTGAAGTTGCACACACACATTGACACTCGACAGAAATCATAAGGACTGTAGACAAGATAGAAGTTTCAAAAAGGAATGCAAGAAAAAGAAAAGCAAGCTGAAAATTATTTATCTGTATTAGAAGAGATAGCAAGTATTAATAGCATGAACAGTACGAAAACCAAAACCAAATAGAGAGTGAAATTGTTACAAACACCAGCACATTAGAGAGAAAAACAGAGCTGCAAGAAAAGATAGGGAATGAAGGAAGGAAAGCCTGGAAACACAAGAGAGGCTTAGTTTGGTCAGTCTGATAAGTATCAAAGAATAAGAGACAAAAATAAAGAGCTACGCACACACAATATCTCTAACAGGAGACAAAGGGGCAAACATGCTAAAAAGGAGAAAAAGGGCACAAAGAAGAAAAGAAAAAGACAATAAATACAATTGATCATCGAGAAAAAGAGAGCATCGTTGTTCACGAGGAGAGCTCAAAATAATCGATAGGTGAGACACAGTATGAAAGAGAAACAAGGCGAGGATATACCATACGAAACGATAAGGTCACCGAAAACACAAAAAGGGACGAATAGTAAGAACATAGGAGAAGCACATTTAGAGTGTCACAAAAGAGGGCGTCGTTAGGAAATTAAGTAGTAACTGCAAATGGTAAAAGTTCATTTTACAACTGAGCTGATTTTTCAACCATTTAGCAACACTCTAAAAGTATGGACTGGGGACACAGGGGCCAAAGCACAAACTGGCATTGGCTACATGTGCATATGTGATATATGCAAGTAGTTGTCACTCAGAGAGTGAAGGCAATGCCTTGGACAGGCAATAAACAAGGAGCCCATAGAAAGTCTGTCTGTCCGGCCAGCATTCTCTGTTGAGCTTCTCACCGAGAGAATGTCTGTTTCAAGGGTCGTAGTTTTTTTTTTTTTTTTTTGTGGGGCGCTCTAAACTGCAAATTTGGATGAGAATTGATGTTGAATGCAATAATGTGTACATTTTTGCAAAAGACAAGGACAAAACTGGGGGGAAAATATACTGACAAATAGACAGACAGAAAAAGCAAGCAAACAAGACAAGCAAACAGACAATCACTTCAACCAGCAAAGGAACCAGAGCGAGACGGGGGGGAAGGAGGGATGTTAACCATTTCAAGGAGGGATGGGAATATTCATCAATTGGTGTTAGTCGTATTAGTTGCCAAGGGAGGTAATTGCATTTGCAGGGGCCTGTTTATTTATTTATTTTCACAGACTCTAAACTGCAGGCAACGAGTTTGAGAGGAGAGGAAAAGGCTGCGTGGAACAGTTAAGATCTGAGGATCAGCGCTCCAAAGCGAGGAGAGACTTTTAGCGTTTTGACGTAAAGCGAGGCACCTCCCTCCTCCTCCACCTCCCAACTATCGATGGGGGAGTGAACGTCTTCAATTATTCATTCTCCTTCATGCTTCATTCAGGGGTTCAGTGCATTCTCAGGTAAGAGCTAGTGCAGCCAGGGGAATGGCCTTTCTACCAGCCTTGCTCTACAGCACCTGAGGTGGTCCTCTGCTCCCTGCCTCCAGGCTGTTCAAACAAAGCGGCCCGGGCTGCACATTTGTTGCAGAAAAAAAACAAACAAAAAAAAAAACAAAGGTGCTTCCTCCAGATCATCTATTATACCATGGATTAAAAAAAATGAGGATTCAGTTTATTCAATTTCTAAAATGGCAATATTAATTGTGGCAGATGGTTGTACTACAACTGATACATTTTGGTGCCAATGCTTTTTCTGTCAGACCCCTCAGGGACTTGATGTGGTTGATATGGTTCTGTAAAGCCTGCAGTTGTCTACAGTATCCAGTGGGAGGCAGAGTGGACTCAGATCAGATTCTCCCACAGCTAAGACACTGAAAGTGGGCTGTTGGCATAGCAACGACTCTAGAAACACAGACCATACATATGGGGGTTTAGGGTGTGTGTGACAGGAGGCTGCTGGGAGTGGGCGCGAGGGAAGGGCGTGTTTGGAGGGGTGCAACAAACAGGCAAACACACTGAGAACAAAGAAGATAAGGTAGAGGATATATGACAGGTACGGGTGAGAGCCTCGCAGACACACACATTCACATGAACAGACATATGGAGGCAGGCGGGGCCACTTTGGGTTTCACCGTCCTGTGATACTATCCTGTTTTGTTACCTGACCGAGGGCCAGCAGCTCGAAGAGAGGGGGAAGGGGGGGAAAGACACTCCACTTCTCGGCTGGAGAGAGACGCGAGAAAGAAAGCCCAACCCAGCCCCTCTTTTTTTTTTTTTTTTTCAGACATTCAGACTCCCCAACCCTTTTGCAAACATGTCACACTCAAACAAACACACTCGCCTGAGACGATGAAGTGATGTATTTCAATGTCTATACTCAATTTCATAGGCGCCCACTAGATCTATCATACTTCCCAGGATCATACACAGTCAGAACCACAGCAGTGAAGCACGGTGTTGCTTACATAACTCATCATCCACATGAAACACATGTACATTCACACCAGAGTCAGACAGTCATCCCTGCTGCCTCACTTCTCGGGCTACGACCAAAAAAATTCTGCTGCGACACATAAATATGGATGCTTTCGCTGTCTACTAATGACTTCCTGCATGTTGGAACAAGAAATTAGTCTAAAATAGCATCATTTACTGAAATCCCATTTCAGGAATAAGCGACAAGGGAGGTGCTAAACACTGCCTTCTGTGTGTCTGCCTCTTTCGCTGAGCTCCAAATGGAAATAGGAAATCACAACCAAGGCAATTCTGTCACTGCCAAATGCTGATGCTGTACTATGTCCAACTTATTTTGTGTTTTTTACCATACTGCTTTTTTTTTTTAGCATTAGCTTCCTTGTCCACTACATCCAACACAGTGAAGATAATATAAGAACGGCAAACATGATTACTTTTAAATCCAGACACGAGCTTAGCATCTATCCAATCTATAAAAATTCAAGGTTCCACTATCCCTTTATGGCCTCCCAATACTCGGCGCAATTTAGCATTCGCCTCTCACAGCTCAGTTAAAACAACTAACCTATCATTGCAGAGAACGCCAGCAACACACTAGCATCAAAACATTTTAATGGTCCATTTAAACTCCAAACACGAGTCTGTGAAATGTTTGGAATCCAGATTTTTTTTTTCAAAGATTGTCTCCGAGACTGCTGCATATGTGCCACATGTTCTGAGGCAGGACACAGGAGTCCCAGGTTAATGCTCCGAATAGCTCATCTCCCCAACCGCCATCCATCTATGAGGATGTATGAGATGAGAATGTGTACCAGCGTGTACCTGCTGGCTAGAGTGCTGCCTTTAGCCCCGCATAACGCATGGATGTGCAGAGGACACTAAGTACTCCCTCCTACTACTCTCATTGAAGGAAGATGGATTTGCACTTTGAATTTTCTCTCATCCTCCCTTGACCTGTAGATGGATGGATGGATGGATGGATGGATGTATGAATGCACTCCTCCTCCTCCTCCTCCTCCTAACCCTCCTCCTCCTCTCTTTGTGACTCCCTTATTTTCTGCCTTAGTGCTTAGCGCTACTTTCCCCCTTCTCTTAGCATGTAACTGAATGCATCTCAATATTCCCCCGGTGATGCGAGCGCGGTGGCTGCAGGGTGCCAAAGCCTCGGGGACAGTCTAAGCCGGAGCCCCTGAAGACTCCGTTGATTAGTCGGGCCTGCAAAGCCCTTGTCACAGGAGGAGCACTGTGTCAGACTAGCAGAGCATAGCATAATCAATTTACATGTTTATGTACAAACACACATGCAGATTATATCATTTTGAAGAATAACAACCGCATCTTTTTTTTTCTTCTTCTTCTGTTATCTAAGAAAACAAAGCCTGAAATGACCGCTTCAAAATGTTAAATTGTGCATGTATGCGACCTCAAGTTGACCTAACATTACATCCGCCAACACACAACCTCCTCCGCTGCACAAAGACTTAACTCCTCCTACTCTGGCTAATGCAGTTAGAGGACAAACACACAGTTACGACGGTAAATAAACACACATTTGTATTGATTTGGGTAAAGGGTCATAACTGCCATCCACTGTATTTGTCTTCGTCTTTCATGTCAAGTTAAGCAATGTAATAAGCTCATAAATTATGAAGTTACATTATATACGCCGCTTGGCAATTAACAGACACTCACTGAGGAACCTCAGTAAGTGCATCATATCTTTGAGGCATAGAAATATACATCCGTATCTATTAATAACTGTTAGATGTAGTCTGAAACAAGAACCAACTCCACTGGCTTACACAAAATGATGTAACATGCATGGATGAATAATTGAAGGACCACAGGCAAGTGGATTGAATGTTAATGTGGCACAAGGATATATCCCGCCTCCTCTGTCCTGAACCTCTGTCCTCATTGGGTCGCTCACTTGCTGCTCAGCCAGAGATCTAGATTCAAAGCTCTTGGGGATTGTGGCTTCTCTTTATAGCAACACTGGAGGAGAACCTACAGTATATGCTCACTGAATCGCAACTGAATTGTATGAGTGAGGACCAATGAGGCATTAACAAGCCACTCCAACATCCTAATTAAGCCTTCTAAGAACCACAACCTATGCTCGGGAGGTAAACACATCAGTGTGTGGGGGCCCCAGAATCAGAGCAGCACTCAATTTTTAGAATCCAGGTTCTCTCCTACTTTCTCATACAGCCTTCCCTCATTCTCTCTCTCTTTCCCATGAAAATATAACCTTGGTTTAAATCCCTTCCACCAACTGTGGTGCAGTTTAAACTGTCAGTCTGCTCCTGCCACACTTCGTAAACAAATGGCCACACAGAATGCTTTCACCCAGCAAATGCACACACAAGGTCAGCGAAGGAGCGTAATGAATATCACGCACAATAACACCTTCTCATGGCCAGTGGGGATAACTGTGTGTTTTGATTGCTTTCAACTACAGCTGAGGAACAATGAAGCGTTAACGCACTGCTGAAGGGTTAACGGAAGGCTTCTCTGTTGTTTGTGCCTTAAGTACTCTGCATTCATTTTAGCATTACGATTCTTTGGCTAATTGTAGCACAAGGTCAGAGGTAGTGCCGTTCCCAGGGGTGGGAGGAAGCACTTCCTTTTTACTTCCATAGACTGTATGTAAAAGATGGATGTAGTCTGAAGAGTGAAGCAAATGTGGAAGTGACTAAAAGCTGCATTGCTTCTAACAGCCAGCAGGGGGCGACTCCTCGGGTTGCACAAGGAAGTCAAATTGCATGAGAAAAGGATCTTACCTCTCACTTCATTTGTTACCTCAATTAACTTTTTCCTAATGACATTATGGTCTCAATCACTACGTTGATGGCTCTTTAAATATAGCAAGATGTTAATTTTGTAAATTATGGTCAGATTCAGAGTCAAATAGACCATATAGCAAGATTAGGGTATAGTTTGAGCAGTTGCTACTGCATAGGTGTGTGTCTGTCACATCTACCCCTCGCTGGTCACATCCTTTTTCAAAAAATGACCAAAATCCAAACTTGAGGCTTCAAAACAGTAGTTCATAACCCAATGGATGACACTATGGTGGTATCTTTATACACAGTCTATGTTTATTTCATTAGAAGTAGCAATAGAACAATGTAAAAAGACTTATTCATAAGGAAAAGTCCCCTATCCCAAACACTAATCAATAATACAAGTATCATGGACTCAATATCCTAAGCAAGGGTACTAAGTATCTCAGTAAAAGTACACCTGCTTCATATGAACAGACGCTCTCTGTAGTATATTATTAATCATATTACATTCTTAATACTGATGCACACGCAGCATTTTGCAATTTGAACTATTTAGACACAGTAAGTTAGTTAGAACAAGAGTCACAAAATCAAACTAAAGGCTTCTGAGATGATTAATGGAGCAAAGAAGAAGGAAATCACAAAGTTATGCAGCACAAATTGTTCTAAATATTGCACTTTTCTCTAATGTTTGTTTTCTTAATCAAGTATTTGACTCTTTAAAACAATTATTTAAATGTATCTACGTGACAAGGGGTCCCAATGAGGTGCAGCCTTTTTTTTTATACTGGATGAAATGATAGAAAACACTGGTGTAACCTTTAACAACACATTCATTGTATAAGCATATCTATGTTGAAAGTAGCTTGAGTACCGTATTTACATAAAGACCTTGAATAAATATACGTAGTTACTCTCAACCAGTGGCTGTTTCATTAATGTAGGTCAACACATATCATTTGTGCAGACAGCAGCTCTTTGCTATTCATCAGCAGCGGAGAGAATCCACTTTGATGTTTGCACTGATGGTGTTAACATTTGAGAGTCACATAAACTATTCACGCAAACTTCAGAGGCTTTATGTTTGGCTCAAATAGTTTGTCAGCAACATGTTGTTCACACGATCAGCTCGGTTTAATAAATTCATGGGGTGTAACATGAGTGATGCAGGTGGAGATGAGTGATGAGCACAAGCAAACGTCTGGATGCCCGGGCTGCGATGATATGGCTGTACACGGGGCGTGGAGGGCGAGAGGCGAGTGATAGCTCGGCTTTGTCTGCAGCTCGAGAGCCCCGTTTAGAATGAGCAATATGCCAGGAGCGTGATTGATTAAATCATGGTTAGACATCTGTGAAGTCAGCACTAACACCACGGGGAATGATATACTCCCAGCAAGCTTATACCTCGCATTTCTAATGGACTGTCGACTTAAAATGTTTATTCGAGCCTCTAAATATAGCAGGCAATTAAGGTATGGCCAACACATTTATTAAACATTTGAATTTGCAATTTTACATCAAACAAACAAAACAATGAGTGGCTCAAGTGGAATTAGTTTACACCTCAGGGGAGTTATAGACGGGAGCTCACTAAAGGGTCAAGGCGCTCGCAGCTTTCATTAGAGTCAAATCTCTCTCTTTTTTTTCTTCCTTACTAGTTCTCTATTGTTCAAAGGCAATAAGCCGCCAGTCACTCTGTTTTGAATGAAAGAAATTAAATGAACCTTAGGTTAATCCAGAAAATACCATAACGCACTCCGTCACTGTTAATCGAGGTGGATCCTGCCGGCCACATGCGGAGCCGAGCAACCTGCGGTCCCTGCTCGCTGTTTAGTCTATTAGTGGATTTCACAAGCCATTTAAGGAGGTTTCTGGGTGAACACAGAAACCTGGAAAGGCCAGATGTGAACGTACACGGCAAATTGCACAGAAAATTTTCTCCTCTGTGGCTCTACGGTTTTCACTCCAATCTGAAACAATGGCGACGGTTTTGATGTTCTGAAAGCCAACATCGTCTCTCAAGGAATACCTTTTGGTTTGTAACTCCACGTGTTGTTGACTCTGGTCACCGAACGCCGGAGGGCAAGAGACAAAAATAAAGCAAAGGAGACAAACTAGGAGTCGACATAGTGTCAAACTTTTTATGATAAATAAAGGTGCTCATTAGTTCAGGAAGGACGATTTGAGCTTCATGTGCGGCTTCATAGTGCAGCTGTGCAGTCGAGATAAGAAAACAGTTACCATCTGTACCGTAATAGAGCCCTAGTTTTAAATCATGTGTCAAATTGATGAAACACTTGTGAATGAGGAATAATTGGTGTGACGAGTACATCAGAATTTGTTCGCCCTCCTCTGCCATTTTGTTTTAAGGTGTGTGTCATATTATGTATCTCCAAATTGTCTCCCATTTGTCACAGAATCAAAGTGAGGTTAAAACTGTCTAATTGGACTGCAGGGGAAATTGAGTGTGTCGCATCTGCCGAGGGCTGGACCAAACGCAGGGCTTCACTCTGACTCTGCGGTGGTGCAAATAATCAAAACCACCATCCATGGCCGAAAATAGTTTGAGGCTTTTGTTTCACTTGACAGACCCGCTGTGGCCATTTGTTAGCCTCAAACTATTTCCCGAAAATAAATGCAACACCTAAACAGAATGCAAACCCAAACGTTTCAGGAGATGTGAGTCAAAGCTGCTGCATCCTTATAGATGAGTGGAAATATTTTGGCTCCTCGTGTGTAAGTTGGCTGGCAAGAAAAAAGGGAGTTATTTTTAGCAGCATGTTTATGTAAGTGACTAACATGTTGAGGAATAATGAGGAGGCTCTCTGGGCCCTCGGTGGAGCTACAGAGATGAGACTCTCAGAGCAGCAGAGGGTGATTGAAGGAAGCTAATGAGCAGGAGGGGAAAAAAAAGAACACGGGAGCAGAAAGGACCGAGATAATAAAAGCATGAAAATACAAAGGAAATACGACAATTACCAATGGGAGGTCTCTGAAAGGCAGGAGTGAAAAGACAAACAAATAGAGATGAAAATGGTGGACGAGAATGTCATTGCGATAGGGGAGATAATTATCACGGTCAGGAAAAAAAAAAAGAAGAAGAAGACCACTGGCATGAGAAAACACAGTTTTATTTGATTGGCTAAAATTTTAGCACTAAATGCAGAAAAAAGGGCTGGAGTACCAGTGAGCGTCTCACTACTGTGATTTATGAGCTCATTACTGCTTTTCAGCTAACACCCAAATTGTTTTATCTCTTTACTCGTCTCGGCATTAGAGGCATTTTTTTTTTCTACATTCGGTTTCGCAGCCATTTTTATTTCTGTAACAGAGTGTCGAGCTCTGATGTTATTTCAGAAGCAGGTCTGTGGCACAAAACACTTAAGTGCAGTGACTCACCGAAAACACTGCCAAACAAAACTACTCTACCTAAATTCTGAAAATCATCTCTTTATTTTTTCCTCAATATCACATCCTTCCACTTGCATCCCATCCTCTCTCACGCACAAAACATCGAGCACTCCCACACATTATCTGGTACCTCTTCTCAGGAGGGGGCTCCTGATTGGCTGCTGGTGCTGCCTGCGCTGTTTCCTGCAGGTCAGGGATATTGGCAAAGTCATCTTGCTCTGCCACACCAATGGCCAAAGCCAGGACCACCAGCTTCCCTTCACTGGCTCCCCCATAAAAAAAATAAAAAAAAATACAATAGATAGAAACAGAGATGGAGAAGGAGAGGCGAGAAAAGAGAACAGATGCAAAGGATAGGGAAATCGAGCATAAAGGAGGTGTGGTGCAGGGAGAGAGAGGAAAAGAAGAGGTCATTTTAGGTGACAGCGGAGACAGTAAGCAGTGAGAGGCGGCGGAACAATAAGAGAGTAAACAGAAGAAGCGGTAACAGAGAAAACGGTCATAAAAGGCAAAAAAGTCTGCAGCGTCACATAACACCCCAGCAGCGAGCACTTTGTCCAGGGAAGGATATTAGGAAGATATCTCAAACCGAAAGGCCAAATTTATAAATTCTAATGAATCTAATGAAGTGGTGCCGACAACAGGCACAAGCTGTATTCACATCATACACACAACAAATAATCCCAGGAACTGTAGGTGATTAGTTAATGACTGTTAATAGGTGTGATATTCAGCAGCTTGCGCATCGGCTTCCACACACGGTCCAGGTATCTGCGCGCACACACAGCAACACAACACGCCACCCACACACACGCACACACAATAATTTATCTAGTTATTTAACTCGTGCTTTCCCTCCAGACTCACCTTTCCCATTGAACATGCTAGGCGTCTTTCTCCAGAGTTAAGATTTAATTAAGCCTCATTAGGAAGATCTGGACTAATTGTTTCTATTTGAGCGATACAGTATCTTGAGGTGCACGGTGTGTGTCACCGTTTTCTGGGTCACTGCTCTCTCACTCTTCATGTTGCACTCTTCCTCATTTCATCTCCTCTATTCTGCCACACTTTGCTCTCCAAATCCCCCCCCTTTTCCCCTTCATCCTTATTCCCTACACTTAATTCTCTGCCTCCTCATCACTGCCTCCTTTCCTCCTTCCTGTCATGCACACCCACGGTTCTATAGCTTAAGCCTCTGACTGTGTTACAGTATCTCTGCTAATATGAAATATGGTGCTGCCAAGCTGTGGAAAGATATCACCCTAAACTTCACAATTTCATCTTTTTTCACACAGCGACTGAAGCTTTTCTTGCAGCACCATAAAGCCTGTTTTATAATCTGCCTGTTATACGTCTGTATTGGTGGTTCCCAAACTTTTATGTCTTCTAACCTCTTTTCAGCTTAACAAAAGACACCACTTGTCAAAAATATGTGTATATTTTAAGCATGTTGTCCACATTCTGTATTGATTATTTATTATTTGTTTCTTGTCAACTATTTAACTCAGTCAGTTATTGACATTGGCGTCCATAACGCAGGAATGTAACTCATTATAAATTCAATATTCACATTGCAGATACCAATCAGCTACAGTTAGAACTTTTATTTTGAAGCAGTGCAACCTAGTGACAGCATTTTTCTGTGAAGTGCTCTTTGAGCAGGTTTTCACAAACTTTGCTGTCAGCTTTGAGCACAAAAAAAAAATCCTGTGTATTTCCTCCTTATTATGGATTTGTGCTGCTATGTGGGCACATGTAAGGTTTAATGTCACGTTGTTAACTGACAATAAGATGACACAGCATCTCATGTGATAATACCAAGTAAGGCAAAAGCAATGCAACAAATTAATTTCGACAGAGAACAAATAACAAAAGTAATGCATTACTTTTTAACCTCTTAAGACCTGGTGTCCAAATGTGTAGACATCACATTTGGGGTTATATTACCACAGTAGTTAATTTTTCTGTCTTTTTTTTTTTTTTTTTAAGTATTATTTTATTATTTATTTATTTATATTTTTAAAAATATGTTGTTTTTTTGTTGTTTTTTTAAATTTGATCTGATCAAATAGCAAAGACAAATGTAGACAAATGCATATCAACAAGAGCTCGGGTCTTAAGAAGTTATTAAGGCAGGAATTGATTCTTTCCATGGTAAAAACCTTTTTTTTATGAAAAGATGAGGTATTAGTGTATTATTCATAAACTTATTCAGTGTATGACCAGAGAGGTCCTTCAAATACCAATATAAGATTTAAAAAAATATCAACAGGTTGAAATGGGTTAAAGTCCATCCATTATCTATACACCGCTTAATCCTCACTAGGGTCGCGGGGGGGCTGGAGTCTATCCCAGCCGACTTAGGGCGAAGGCAGGGGACACCCTGGACAGGTCACCAGTCTATCACAGGACTACACTTAGAGACAGACAACCAAGCACACTCACATTAAATGGGTTAAAGTAATTCATATAATTATCCAGCAGCTATGAGTGAATGGGTAATAGTCAGTGTTGGGGTCACTGCTTTAAAGATCACTCCATGAAGTCACCATGTGTATTACCGCCCACCCCTCCCTTCTCCATTCAACTCGAGCGCACCTACAACTCTGCTCAAACACTGTAAGTCTACTCTGTGCTGGAAAGTACGCGTGTGGATTGGTTCCTTGGGTTTGTTCATATGACCCCTCAGAAGTCTGAACCCATGTTTTTGAGACTGTCATCACTACAGTACAGTTTCAAGGCAGAAATCTTCACTCATGGCACTGCTTATTTGCTCATGATGTGTCTTCGAACATTTGGAATAACGCCATATGGACATGTTAACAAACTTAATTGTCACCAGAAGGGGTCTTAATAAACAATTTTGAGAGTCTCTGCTTGCTTGCTGGCTCCTTTTCACACACTCTCAGCTGCAACATGTGGTATTCTCACTAAGAATGTGAGATGTGCGATCTACTTTTTCAGACTGATTGAGGTATTTTATGATCTTCCCACATACTAATTGCAAAGGTGTCTCCTGGCACATCCCTCGCTGAAAGTCACCGGTCTATACATTATGGTATGGCGTTTATATTGATAGTGTGAGTTTAATGGTTATTGGATCCCTCCTCTCCCATCACTCCTTAAGTATGGACATTTACACTCAAGAATATTGTAAAAGCACTTTACTCGATGCGCTGGACATTAAAGAGGCAGCGTAAAAGAGAGGGAAGAGGCATTAATGACGTAGGGATAAAGTATTGACTTTAAGCCAAAAAGCATGAAGACCAATCTCCCAAGAGGTCCATTTAGTCAAACGGCTCCAAAGGCTAGATATCTGTGTCAATGACATCAACACATTCAATGAGCAATGATTCATCCATATTGGGGATGTAGCCAAGATTGAAATAAACTGGCTCGAACAATGGGTCATGTCCATTACTGGGCCACTCTGTCATCAATCATGTGAGGTGTTGCAGAAAAGGAAATATAACAACAATGACCTCAATTTCACGTTTACAATGATGAGTGCCACAGCTGACTATTAGGGGTGATATTCTCAATGACCTTGGTGCTTGCATGTGCTACATCGCTAATGCTCGGTTAGCCGGTGGCGTGAGTTCAGCTGTGTCGTACTCAACTGCCCAGAGAAGCTTAAATGCACATTAAAAAAAAAAAGGAAAAAGAAAAATGAAGGGTGAGAAGCTACAATAAAACTGATTCAGTGCACATTAAACACATGTTGTACCTTGGCGGTGTCCTTGCTCATCCCTTCTCCCTAATCTGCCCTCCTCTCCTCTTCAGAGCATGAAGTAACAATATGTTGAGGAAGTAATGGTGCTGGTGACATAAGATCAATGCTTCAGGGTTAATACAAATCACAACACAGCTGCTTAACCTTTGTTCTTATACTGATGCACAGTGACATGTGGGCTGTGTGATGTACACATGTTCACACACGTCAGCCGGCCGGCAGCACAGCCAGCAGATAAGGATTTACTATCCACATAAAAGTTACAGTGGCACCGAGAGGAGAGGTGCTATTTTTGTTGCAAACACTCATGAAATATGAATCAGGCCTAGTGGTGTGTCTCCTTAACAGGATATTTAACAGTCATTCCAAAGGATGGCTCTGAAATAACATCATTTAATTGGGTGGGAATATAAAATATATTGTGACTTTTCGTGACAACATCTCATGAATATTATAAACTAGCACCAGTAGCGCTATTCTGTCAAGACAATTGCAGCAGCGAGGCTGAATGCCATCCAAACAGATGTTACTGTTTAGCAGAGCATACAGCGTAAACATTTAACAATTCTATCACAGAATGGGATGGAAATAGCCCCCAATATGTCGCACCTCCTTGCTATTTTTCATGCGTGTGACATTCACTCTATAAATAGAAATGATGGTTTTTAACAGATTGCCTTGTAATTCATTACAGCTCAGCAGTGACATGTTGAAATGCTGAAAACTGCTATTGCTCAGTTTCAGTTGGGATGTGAAAAGATCATAAAGCATATCAAGTAACTACACATACCCAACATGTAAGAATATACTTAATATAGAGTGGTTAATATCATGTGAGTGATGTTGTGTCGTGATATGGATCAAAACAGTTATCAATCTCCTGCACAAGCGCAGGGCTTAGAGCTTAAAGACAACTGCTTATTTACATTCATAACTCTACCCTTATTAACATTTTTAATAGATTTTTTTTCATATAAGCCAGTTTCTCGCCTCCTGATCTGCATTAAGCTTCATCATCCTACATTAGCATGCTCCGCTGTAGCGTGGACTAAATTGCCTTTGTAACTGTATACAGAATAGCTCCTTTCCAACAGTAGGATTTAGTGGAGGGTAAAGTGAAAGCAATAACTAAACTCATTCAGATGTGAACACACTTGTACATGTATGCGCACAAACACACGGGGAATATTTTTGACAGACAGAAGTAATATCCTTCCCTGGATATCAGATGCAAACTGAAAGAAACCACCTGAAGGAAGAGGCACAGAACCATATTTCACACAGATAAAGGTAAAAGCAGATTAGACTCTAACTTAAATATATATTAAAATCTATTTTAAGACATTAAGCGTTAGACAGATATATCGGAAAACAAATGCATAAAATAACTCTGCATAGCAAAACATAGCATATACTATCAGACACATGGAGGCCTCAGCAGGTGACACTACAAAAGACTCCATAAAGTTATGAATGAAGAGTTGTAGAGACTCACAGGAAGGACTTGACGTCAAGGCCACGGTTCCGGATCTGGTCCATCATGTAATCCCAGCTGCCAGGATTGGCACGCGAGCGCCCTCCTGCTCCACCTCCCCTATAGCGAGAGGCACCTGCTCCTGCCGGGCTGCCCCGTGCACCCCGGGGACCGCCTCGCGTACCTGCACCCCCACCCTCACCACTGCTGCCACCTCCCTCTCCTCTCCCAGCACCCCCGCCTCCCCCAGGCTGTCCGGGTGCTGTGTGTAATTGTCCCAAGCTCTGGGATGTGGTGGGGGGATGGCAGAGACCAGGGCCTGATGGGTGGATGAGAGGCTGCTGAAGACTCTGCTGGCGCAGCAGCGTCCGAGGCCGGGCCGGCCCAGACGGGATGTGCTCCAATGTGGAGGCATAGGATAAGACTGGATCCCCAAAGCTGGGAGGGCAGAGGAGCAGGGAGGAAAGAGAGCGTGAAGAAGGCCACGGCCGGCAGAGAACAGGATGATGAGGAGGGGCAGAGGAGCCAGAAGTAGAAGTAGAGGAAGAAGTAGATGTAGAAGAGGAGCCGTGGCAAGAGGAGGTGAGTTGGTCAGAGGTGGCGAGATCAGGAGGAGAGATGAAGAAGAAAGGTAAAGAGTCATCAGAGATGAGACAAGGTGGCACAGGGCAGTAGGGAGGCGCAGCAGAAGTCAGGTTGACGTCACGTTGACGATAGTTACAGGAAAGTTCATCCAAACAGAAAGTTGATGATTGTGGGATGGAGGAAGAGGAGGAGGAGGAGGAGGAGGAGGAAGGAGGACCAGTGGTATTTGAGGACAAGGTGGAGGAAGAGGCAGAGGGAGGAGTGTTGGGAGGTGGAGACAGGAGGAGGAGGAGAGAGAAAGAGAGCAACGTGAGGCAGCAGCAGTAACAGCAGTAGCAGAAATAGCAGTAGAAGGTGCAGCCTGAGTGATGATCGCTGTGTGCTGTGTGCTGCTCATGGGGCTGCGTCGGGCAGCAGTGTGTAGACTGGGAGCCAGTCTTGTGCGGCGGATGTGCGTTCGCCTTGCGAGTCTGCGCCGGTTGAGCGTGCTGTTTGCATGAGGGTGTGTTTCGCAGTGGCAGTGGTCGGATGTGCACTGTCCGCATGGGCGTGGAGCGGTTCTGGGCCACGTGACCGCGTCGAGGCGTGTGGGTCGTAGCTTTGCAGCTTCCAGGCCTCGCTGCTGAGGGCTTTTTGCTCTGATGCGAGATCCCCATTTCCTCGACTCGTCAGTCAACTTTTTCCATCTCTGATAGTCTCTCCTCCTTTCTCTCTATGTCTTTTTCGTCTTTTAAATACGTGCTGCATCTCCAGAGACATCCCAACAGCCAACCAAGTTCTACAGTATGACTCCCTCCCTCTGTCAGCCTCTCATTTTCCACTCCTCCCCTTCATAAATGCTGTTTAATTGGCTCATTGCGTCTCTTTAAAATGTCACAACAACGTAAAGGTGTGTCACACGTCATCGCTCGCTTACTTGCATACAACACTCCTGTATTTTGTAGCCTCTACAGTACCTATCATGATCTTTTTTATACTTTCTTCTACTCACTAAATATATCCTCCTCTCTCTCAGATCGCTGTGTAACCCAGACTACCAGAATTGGGTCAGCGAGAGCTATTCACATCAGTTCGGTGCAGTTTACTCCACTTTACATTACTTCAGCTAACACAATTTTGCATAAGGCTTTTAGTGTAATATCCAACATATTTAACAGTCACAAATAGAAGGATTTTTTTTAACAAAAGGGCAGTGGAAGGTTTTTCCACAACTGTTGGTAAAACACAGAGAATAAGCGGAGTGGCTTTACATGGCGACAGAAAGATGGAGAGAGTGATGGGAGTGATAAGAGCAGAGGGTGACGATGGAGGAGAGACAGAAAATGGGGTGCGAGACACAAACACAAGAGACACAGACACTTATAGCCGCCTGAAAATAGAATCCAATTATAGACAGGGGCAAAAAGAAAGATGAGAAGAGGAGAGAAGGAGGGAACGAGGAGTGAGGTAGTGATGAGCGTAAATGTGTTGTGGAGGAAGAAGTCACAGCCATGAAGTGCCAAAAGAAAAGTGTCAAAATCACAAAGAAACCAATAAATTAACCGCCTCATTTACAACACGCTGAATATAGATCCTCGATGATGTCATACGTCACGGCTGTGGGACACATGCAGCCAGTAACCAATATGCCGTTCGCATTTCAGCCGAGGTCTAAATTAAAAGGTGGGATGACAGCATGTGACGCATTATTTCTGGCGGTGTGAAAACAAGACTATTTCTGTGTTGCCTTTTTGAAGCTACACTTGCAGGCGGTGCAGTTCCTCGCATAAATAAATCATATTCTCCTGCAGAGTCATACAGGAAGCTATACTGTGCAGCTGGGCCGCCTGTGTCAGCCGCAGGTTTGAGTCAGTGTGATGCGGCTCGAGCGACTATTGTTGTCTTCTCCTGACGCGAGTTCGCATTTCCCCAGCGCTCACACCTCGATCTGTGCCCACGCGTTCACCTTGTCGCCTAAGCTGCACTCTCCTCCCTGCTGAACTTGACTTGGCTCTCCCAGAACGGATTCATTCACCTGACCATAGACGCTGCTCAGGTGAAAACAGTTTGCGTAGATGTGAGGTGTTAATTTTGCTGAAATGTTGAGCCCGGTTCTGAACTCACTTGCTGGGTCTCAGTCCTCCAGACTGCATGTGGCCCTGGACGGTCTGCCACCTCCCGGCCTTCACTCCCTCTGTCACCATGCTCTTCACGCTGTCACTGCGATAAGGACCCCCCCCAGCATCCCCATGCCCAGTTGCTGCCCCCTTCTGACCCCCTGACACTGCCCCACTAAGAGAGAGAGACAGGGTGCAGAGATTCCACGGCAAGACAGAGGGTATAGAAGGAGGATAACGACAGGCAGAAGAGAAAAAGACCAAAGAGTGTGAGAAAGACACACACAAACACACACACAATCACACACAATCACACACACACACAGGAAAATAGATTGAGCAACCACATGGCTAAGGAGGTGAGACAGATCAGTAGAGTGTGGGAAGGGGCAGGGCAGGTTTTCCAGGCCAAGTGAGAGGCAGGTGGATAAAAAAAAAAGAAAAGAAAAAAAAAGGTCTGGAGTCCAGTGTGGAGGAAGAGAAGGATGGGGGAGAGCAGAGCAGGGAGGAGGGAGGAAGAGGAGGAGGAAGAGGAGGTGAGGAATTTACAGGGAGCCTGTGGAGGGTGGAAAACCAGCAACAAGTCACTCCTTCGGGCCTGGAGGACCAATACTACAACTGCCAGCATTCACTAGCAGCAACAGCGTGCGGACACTGGTCATTTAGTTCCTATTTTCTCATTCATTTAGCCATTTGGGGGTTGAGATGTGCTACTATACAAGGTAATTCATTGTAGCAGCTTAGAGCAACGGGAGGACGGCTTGTACTTGAACGCCTCATAAGCAAATAATTGACTTATTTGGGAAGTCATCCAAAGAAATATTCCATTTTTATTTTTTTTTAAGCGCACGTGTTCCTGCAAAAAAACTGATTATACTCTATTTTGGGATCTTAATATGCAATAATTCATTTTTTAAATATCAGCTTGTCTTTTGATCACCACTTGGAACAGCAATGTGGAAGCAGTGAAACACTTGCACCACACAGTAGAAAGTACTATGAGGGGAATCTTTCCACACTGGCCTCCAAAACAGGTACAAGGTACAGAAACTAATCAGTGTTCATGTTGAGAGCAGTTGTCAACTCAGATTTCCCCTCAAAACAGGTTTGGGTTTAAAATGTCATGTCTAGTCTGAAAGCAGTGATGATCAAAAATAAAGAACATTAGTGCCCTCTGGTGACATGACTACATTTCATTAATATGCATGGTTCTCCTGCTCCTGGAGACACAAAATACGAGGCACCGCAGACATCGTTGTCTGGCGTGCACACGTGGGATCGGGGGGTGCGAAACTTGCACCGTGTCCCCTTTGAAGGTCACCTTTCACATTTAACTCTGACCAATTGACCTGACAGTGCATGTGGATAAGCCATCAATCACAACAACAGCACGGATGACACTGCTGGAGCTACGGTCAACACAGGAGACCCGAGCCTCATTTATCGAGCCGGGCACAAGGTGAATGTCTTTACTCTTTATTAAAAGTAGGAACACATAAATGAATGGGGTTATGAATCATCAAGGGTATTCACAGCACCGAACAGCATTTAGAAATCAATCCTGTTTCTGACTGAGCTTACTGAGAGTGGAAGTGATTTCAAAAGACATATAGCCACATAAGACTAGACGTTTTTTCATCGATGCTATCAGAGAGATAAAATATTGAGTGTAATATACAGTAAATATAAACTTGACTGCATACATTTGAAAAATGTCTGACTGTGTGGCAACTGTTGCCTGCTGCCGATATAAAATGTCAAACAAATATAGTATTTTCACCCTAAATTTAATAAATCCTTAAACATGAGACTAGCGTACGGCAGCTAAAGTGTTTGATAAATGAGGCTCACTGTCATTACTGAGATTGAAACCTGCTGATCTCAAGAGAATCTCAAACAGGAAATGATTTTCCAGCTGCCTGTTGGCTTTAGCGACATATTATTGGTTGGAGTCAGGAGGTTGTCCCGAGCCTGTTTTATTTTAGGTAGGTTTTGTTTTTTTGCACGATACCGATAAAACAGCTCATTTTAGCATTACCGCTGTAAATAGTTTGTCTGTTTTTCGAGGGAAGGAACTGCTGGAAAAGATCTTTACAGACAATAAATGTCAACCTTGAGGGCTATTTGAAAAATGAACCCCTTGCGTGGGTCTAAAGTTGGCGTTGTAAGATCAGCAGCCATCATCCTAAAGCAGAGTCTTCAGACAGTAATCCATATATCCACTGCGTTCATAAGCACACTGCTGCCTCCTTTCTCCAGGCAATTTAACACACCGTCCTCAATGGCTGGGTCCAGTACAGATGACCAGTTATTAAGCAGTTTATCAGACATGTGCCTGGTAGCAGGATGTCTGAGCTTAGAGCCCTCCAGTGCCTGGAGGGAGATAGGTTTGACCTTGCTACTGCTTTATTGTATTCGAGTGCCTAGTGGGTGAAGAAAATACTTTCATTGCAACAGGAAAAAACACTGTTACCTTGTCTCCAAAAAATTATAGACAACAGATGCAGTTCAAGTAATTCAATGTTAGTGCAATACACGTTAGATATCACACTGATAGGGATCGGAGAGAAGCCACAGATGGATGTGAACTGCAAGTGAACACTGGCACCACACTGCAACCCGGTGTAACGGTCAACCCTCCACAACAACGACAGCAGCAACGACGACAACCAGCAAATTTCAGTTCACACAAGCCAAAGACAGGGAGATACACAGATTACAAAGAAGGTGGGTTAGAGTATAACACGTCTCTTTTGGAGAGGAAAACTACGAGGGTTGTCCGTCTCCATGGTGACACTCCATGGGAGAGAGGTGAGAGGTTAGAGATCAGGAGTTAGTGAGGAGCGGCAGGGCTGTAGGGAGTAGGGGGGCAGCTGAACATGCGCCTCTGTGTTCATTTAAAGGTGACAAGATGTGAGCAGAAGCAGCAGAAATTAGCCTGGAGGGATTACAGGGCTGTGCTGCTTTGTCGCAGCAGTAATAGTCAAATGACTGTCACGGGATGCTGTAATGTGCATGTATGGCATTTCCTACACTCACATTTCCCAAGCAGATTATGAGTAATCATTAGTAACCATTTGTGCCCTCCGGTGTGCTAACATTGGAGGGGATGTTATTGTTGTTGTTGCTACCATTGATGATGGAAATTACATTATACAACCAAAAAAAGGTCTATAAATGGGCAGTTTGTGCATATTGCAATGCTCTGACTTTTATGAAATGTGCTTTTAAAAAAGGCCTTGGGCTAAATATCCCCAGTTACTCATGGGGAAATTTTGTCCTACGGAATGGAAACATAATCAAGATTATGAAACTATGTGGATTTAATAAGCTATGAGGCATTATAATGTCCACATTCAATGGTTCAATTTGATGCGTAGTCGTGGCTAGCGGTGCTGAATACACAGCTAGAAAATTGGAAGGTGTGAGGAGGGAAGAGGGGATGCAGGGAAGGGAAGAATAGGAGGTGAGGGAAGGGAGAGGGGAAAAGAGGGAGAGCGGCACTGCCCCTGCCTCGTTACAGCCCTGCTCAGGGAGAAGTCTCTTACCAGCCTTGGACCAAGACTCACTTGAGCGTGAGGCGAGGATCTCCATATGGGGCATAGGGAGAAATGTTTAGTACGAACTCCTTGGGGGGATAGGAGCTCCACCTCTGCTGCACTGTGCTGCTGTCATTGTTATTCCAAAAGTCTCTGTCTAGATCACTGGGGCCAAAGAGAGAGACAGGTCAGAGCAACACAACTATGGACAGCCTCGGCACCAACCAACCATTCGCAAAAGCAGCTCCTCCTTTTTGGAGATGACGCCAGGCTCGGTTTGAGGAAGAGGGTTGTTTCTTATAGCTGCGTCAAATGGGAGGTGGAAATAAAACAGGCCCAGATTAATGTCTATTTGTATACCTGAAGACTACTAATATTAAAAAAAGAAAAAGAAAAGAGGGGGCAGCCTGGGGGGGAAAGGCATTCACAACAGCTTTTCATAAAGCAATGTACTGTAGCAAAGACAGGGAGATAGAAAAAGAGACAGATAGCAAGAGAAGAATCTTAATCTGATGAATACATACAGCATGTGATTACATTCTGTTCATTGAGCACGGCACCACTAATGAAAGACATTTGAGTAAACATCAAGAAGTCTGGGCCCCCATCCTTGGCGTAAGCAGTGAGGAAAGCATGAACGCACGAGACACAAGGCAGAGAGATAAATCGCAGACAGTCAAAGTAGAGGAGGAAAAGGTGAGCAGAATCACTGATGTCATACAAGTCACACAGCAGTGGTCAGAGCTGTAGCACAGGGACAGAGCAGGAGAGAAAGGCAATGCACAAAGAGAAGGAGTTTGAAAGCTGAAATGACCAACACCGATGCTGCTGGAGGCAGTGAGAAAGGAAATGCAGAAATTAAGAGATCAAAGAACCCAAGTCAGAATACATTCACATACAGTAGCCCATTTTTTAACGTCTAAAACCGTTGGTACAGAAAATAAAAACACTGAAACAAAGCTGAGACAACATCAGGCTATAGAAGAGAAGTAGTGAGGAGCAGGTTAATAGAGGTATTTCGTGGAATAAAATGGTATGCTTAGCATAATAAATCTGACATTTTCTGGTACTGACCTATGGCCTTGTTTTATCAAGAACAGAAAATGCCTTAATCTTAGTTTGAGCCCTGGAAGAAATGTTAGAACAAAATTCTCCCCAACATCCACACGCCAAGCATTTCAAAACGCCTGCTCAGGTCTCCGTCTTTTTTACTTGAACCTATACCATCTTAAGCGATGCAGAGGCGTGGCACTTAAAGGAGACCTATCTTACAACCCATAAGATAAGTGCAGGAGCAGACTCGTCCAGCCAAAAGCTTCACAGGTAAGATAATGCAGATTTAATCTATACTGATTAAATCACTAACCTCTCATTTATTGTCTCCTCGAACATGCTCTTGTAGAGATTGCGCTCTTCGAGATAAAAACAACAGGGCTCATTTTCTGCCTTGTTTGTGTAGTGTACATTGAGGGACTCAAAGCCGAACCAAATGGAGTTCATTATCACCAGATTATTCTACCCCAACCAGTTACCAGCCACTTACTTGATGGCTTTCTTCTCCCCTCGCCCACGTGCCGAGTCTGGAGTGTCTGCTGTTTCCACTCCTGGCTTATTCCTCTTCCCCTTGAGCCAAGCGGAGGGAGGGGATGACAGAGAAAGCACAAAAACAAAAGGTTAGCCTAGATTTGTCCTTTGAAGCTGTGTTTTTGTCGTACTAATTTCAAGTGTAAATGCCTCTCCCATTATCTCAGGAACACTGTGCCATCAGTCCTTTACCTCATGGTCTCCTGATTACACTAATCAAAGTCAAATCAAATCTGCAGTGAAGAGCCATTTCTGACTATGATTATCATTCGCACCACCCTGAAATTTACATGGCAATTGCCTCTTTAAGGTAATCCGCTGGGTACTGGAGAGAAACCTCTAGAAAGTCCTGCAAGAGCCTGATTTCAAATAGCTAGTGCATGACCTGCAGTAACCATGGAAATAATGGCAATTTAAAGGCCTCGAAAAGTAAGGTCTGCTGTGCGCATTCTTCTGGAAAACCTCATTACAGGTAAAGGTGTCTCACATGTGTCTCACTGCAGGTAATCTCTATTGACACTTTGCAACAAGTGGAACGGGGAGGGGATCAGTCTAAAGCCACCCAGCCCCCCAAATACCACGCATGCAACGCTGAAAGTGATGCTCTGATACACTCTGAGGATAGGCGAGGATCCTCCATCCCAGGAAACCAGTGGGAGGAAAACACTCTGAGCTGCTAGCATAGCTCGGCTCGGCTCAGGCAATTTCCTGTGGTGGGGTTAGAGTTGGGGGTTAGCTGGCTGAGGGCTGAGCATGGATCTCCAGACTGGATGCTTCAGGTTCAATTATTGTTTTGTACAGACTTGGCAACACCCCTGGTTCCACTTTGCTCTCATCAGAAGCCGTAAAAAGCTTCACCCTATTGAAGATCTGCTGCCCCACACCAACCCCAGTGCCAACATGTCAGGCCTCAGTCAGACCTTCAGCATTTTGTTTCATATAGTTTCAACCACAGTTTGGGGTTAGGCTTATGCTTAATTTAATTTATCAAGAATTTTCATCACGCGCCTTTCTTTCTTTGTAACTGTTCACTTCAATATGTGATGTGTGTTTAAAGTACAACATACAGTATTTATTACAGAAAACACAACACGGTGTAACCTTGGGATGTGGTTTTAGTTTAAATTCTGGTGTGGAACCAGACTGATCTAAGCATCATTAACAGAAGAAAAACCTGTTTCTAAAAACAGTAAATGATCTGAGGAAGGTCTTTATTAAGTCCTATTGGCTGTGCAGAGATTGCAACACTGTCTTGAATTCTCTTCTGCATTGATTTGTTTGAGCAGTTGTAAACAACAGACAGCAACTTTAAGCAAGCTAATATTAGGAAACGATCCGAAAATCCCAAGGTGTTTCCAGGCCAGATGAGATATATCATCCCTCCAGCAAGTTCTGGGTCGACCCCACTGTATCCTCCCAGTTTGACCTGTCCAGAAAACCACCAAAAGAGGCACCATGGAGGTATCCTAATCAGATGCCCGAATCACCCTAGCTGGCTGCTTTCAAACATAAGGGAGCAGCAACTCTACTCTGAAGAATTCAGCCACTTGTATCCACCATCTCATTCTTACATTCACCATGCAGAACTTCTGACCATAGCTGAGGGTTGCAGCCTGGACTGACTGGTAAATTAAGAGCTTCACGTTCAGCTCAGCTCTGTCTTTGCCACAACAGTCCGGTACAATGCCTGCATTACTGTTGATGTGGCACCAATCCATCTGCCAGTCTCACACTCCATTTTACAACCACAATATCCTGAGATACTTAATTTTTTTTGCTTGAGGCAGCAACCCACCCCAAACCTAGAGAGAGCTTCCAGTTTCTAAGGGAGAACCATGGCCTCAGACCTGGAAGGTGCTGACTCTTATCCAACTCAACCCACACTTGAAAAAAACAAACAACATAACCTTAAAATAACTTTGTGTTTATCAGGTAGCCTATGCAGGGTGAATACCAAGTGTAGGCCAACTTGCCTGTGTTGTATATATCAATAATTCGTGAGCGGGGATCATCAGCTGATATAGTTCTATTTTCAGAAACCATCTTAAAATTAGCAGGTGCACACAGCGTTGAGTCAGCTGTTATCATTTTATTGCAAAACAACCAGGTTAAAATTATTTATTATACTGCAAATACTATTTTTATTTATGATTTATTCCGGCTAATAAAGCCGGCAGAGGGATGTGCACTTAGTGCAGTGCGGCTGATTTAGTTGATCTAGACAGAACGTGCAGATATTGTTCCCCCACCACCGACTGATTGGTTGAAGAGTAGGTACGATTTCAATAAATCAAAATTTTCTTTGGTACTACAGTCCCTGTAATAATCCAGTCTTCAGGAGATTAACGTGGTGGTAACAGTCTTCATGCCAGTGAGAGAGGGGATGAACTTCAGTTTGACAATGTTCCTCAGCTGAAGACAGCAGTCAGTCATTCACCCCAGAGCTGATATGTTTGTCAAATTTGAATACTAAATCAAAAATGACACCAAGATTCCTGGCATGACGGTTAGATGTCACTGGCTTTAAGTGGTTAGTTACAGCTATTATGATGTTTAGGGGACAAAAAAACTCAATCATTTCAGTTTTATTATCATTTAGCTGCATTTTGCCATCAAGCATTTCCCCTCCTTCTGGCAATTAAAGGTGGGTGTAATACGGGTGGACGCAGGTCTATTTGTGTGTTTTTAGCATATGCCCAGTATGTAAAATTACAGTTACCTGTCTATGTAAACACAGACCACAAGAAGCAAGTAATAAACAGGTTTAAAAATACAATGAGGCAGTCAGCCTCAGTTCTGTGTGAGTTTCTGACTGACACCGGACTGACTCATGTTCACACGATCAATACAATGCTCATAAACAGCAGGAGCATATGGAAATGCAAATTGCGCTATACAGCCCATATAGCGAGCTTCAGAGCCCCACAGCCAACGATTATAATCCGCACCTTACATATTGTGGCTTTGGGTACTGCTGGACGTGTTACAAAGCCTGAGTTGACAATAGCACTGCTGAGAAAAAATGATAAAGCCTACAATAGCGCTGCTGATGATATCCATGACACACAAGGAAACAAAGCTGCTCATCTATTGTATAATCAGCACTAACCTGTATTGGAAAGGTCAACAAATGAATAAACACAGATCGGACAGGATGACTAGTTAAACAGCTGCATACAGGAGGTGTGTTTGTAATTTACACACTGACTTCTAGATAAACAGCCTCTTTATAAACTGACACAGACGTGGAAGTGCGTCGACTTCCACGCTGAACACATCACAACATGTCAGCATGTTCTGAGTCTGCATTACAGAGATCACTCATGATCCGTTAATGTGTGCTTTATGTGTATGATAGCTGTGATAATTGGCCGGCATGCTGGGAAGATACAGAAAACCAGCTCTCATAATTTCTTACAGTATTTCAGATACATACAGTCATACCTACTGAACAATAGACTCTTCTCCGTGCAGATAATTGCACATAAGCGCACCACAACAAACACTGTATCCGTGCATGACGGTTTCTGGGGAGGAGAAGCTGTCTATATTTCTGTGAAGCGAGGACAAGCTATCAAAGGAAACTCATGTATCATTCAATGCTATCGTAAAATTTTCAGGAAGGAGGGAGACACAGAGGATGAGTGAGAGTCCAGTAGAGAGAGAGAGAGAGAGAGGGGTGAGAGCTGAAAATAGAAATCAAATCTAAAAAAAATAAAAATAAAAGAGGCGACCAGAAGGAGAGAAAAACAAAGACAGTGCAGAACAGCATGTGAGACAAAGGGATGGGAGGGAGGGGACAGGTGCAAATGGTGAAGTGAGTGAAACAATGAGTGACAGATAGTCCCGAGTGGATTGGATGTGAAAACAAGGAAGGACTCGAATGCTCTCCAATGGGCACACGTCTTCCTTTTCATGCACACACACACACACGCTCACACACAAAGACATACACAGCTTCAAAAACCATCTCCTCTACTCTCTTCCTGCGGCTCATTCACAAACACTCTGCTTCTATCTTCAAGGGAGGTGTGGCGGCTGCAGAAATCCACAGTGATGAATATAACAAAAGCTCAGCAGCTGTACAGATGTAAGACAAGAAGCAATGAAGAAAACCAACTCAGTAGCTCAAATGATGGTTAAAGAAAATCACTGGAAGGCTATACACACACACATACATATCCAGCCCAGCTTTTTGTTTCACCAAAGAGGGTTTGCAACGATCATCGTGTTTAGTGGCATCTGGCTCTGAGCCATTACTTCATAATAGTTCCAACTCATATGATGAACCAATTATGAGATATACCAATATTGCAGTGAGCTTCCACTTAGAGAAAGAAAAAGCAAATAATTTTTAACAATCAAACCGCAGCAGAGCATGTTAAAAATGACATTAGTGGAGTCTCGTAGCGCAGATGAGCAGGGGTGTTGTAATAATGGATGTGGTGGAACTAAATAGCTACTCGAGGCCCTCAGAAAACTTGGAATGAAGTTTGTTTTTATCGACAGTTATTCTGAAATTTTCCATTATTAGCAATATAAGTAATGAAGCACTGCTGGCTGAATTAAGAGTTTGACAAGCCTGGCCTGACTCCCAACTCATCACATAGCGCCTCTTTGCCAGAACCACTTTATCATTTGTCGATGTGCCGGTTAGTTCAGCAGACCGACAGTATAGAAATCCCAGAATGTCAGAAATAGACATCATGAGTGTATAAGCCAAATGTCCTCTAATATCTTCCCTGTCACTTCTTTTCACGAGAGGTTTGCCTTATACCGTGTGCTTAATGTCACGAAAGGATGTATTTAACTCAACTTTTCCCAACCTAAACCAGTTTTGGTGCCTAAACCTAACCAGGCAGTGAGTGAAAATGACACTTAGGTCACAAAATAAAGTGAAACAAAGTGAATAGCATAAAACTTCAGTCTTCTGGCTGAACGTCCTAAGGCTTAATGCCTCCTCCAGCTCTTCAACCTCCCTGTGAGGCTCTTTAAAACTGAAGAAACTCCTCTCAGTGTCAATTATTGATGCAGGTCGC